TTCTGGGCCTAGGATTGCTCCTGGAAAGGACAAAACGTGCACTAAATATAGATGGCCTGGCTTAAGCCGAAGGAATGGTGAGGAGCTCACATTTTGAATTCCAATATCCGTCTGGATTCTGGGGTTCTGTTGCTCATTTTCCGGCAAATTAACGTTTGCAGTTCCCGGCCTTAATCCCAACATGCATTTATTTACCATCGAATATTATATTTTGTGTGTTTTCGTATTTCAACAGGAAAGTGTCATTATTCTTAGTGTGCTCTTGAGCTAATCAAATAATTTCCAATTATGAGTTTGGTTGGGGATTGTGGGGAAACTGCAACATCTTCTATAAGAAACTAGAGAGGGCTTCTATAGTTACTGCTATTATTTTGTATAATTATTTTATTAGGGTCTTATAGTTCTTATAGAAGTCATTACTATGCCAATATGTATATAGTTACAGTTTCATATATAGGGCTTTATAAACTTATAGAAGTATAAGAACTACAAGAAATATACTTCTATAAGAACCATAGAACTAAAATACATACTTTTAGTTAAAGACTACTTTAAATTAAAATAAGTAGAACACCTAATAATAGAATGATATTAGTATTATTCCACAAAAAACGTCAAATTCTTGAAAAAAAGTTAAAAATACTTTTAATTTTCATAGTAAAAACCACTATTTACTATTTTTATAATAAAACAAGTTCTTAAAATATATCTTATATATGTAAGTTCTTAAAACAAAAACTAAACTATGTATATAACCCTTAAATATACCTTTTAAATGTCCATTTCCTTGGATCCTGCTGTTGAATCCTCTCGCAGCATTACGTGTCCTAGAGATTGACCTTCGCACTGTGTAGATAAGAAAAGTCTGCCAAACAGGACTCTGATTCCTTGGAAGTGCCTTTGACGTTGATTGATTGTTGTTTTTGTTTTTGTTTTTGTTTTTGTTTTCGTTATGATATCGATTGCGTTATCGATTAACTGACACAGATCACAATACAAGCACAGAAACTGAAGAGTATCAGTATCAGTAACGGATTTTGGAATAGATTTTTGGGTGGCGTTTGGATTGGAGCGATTGTAGCGATTGGAGCCGATTTGTATCTTTTTGATTTTGGATCTCACGGATCGCTTGTCGTACTTAAACAAATTATAGACACTTACACGAGACAACACCGAAGAACACAAATTCTTTATATTTATGTTTGGGCGCTGGAGATGGTGGCCAGCGGACGCAGCAGATGCATAATAAGATAACAGCAACAACAACAACGATGATGACGACGACAAATATTGTACATATGTACAGAGTGAGAGAGATAGCGAGAGAGAGAGATAGACACAAGCACGGACACACACAGAGACACTCGATTACGGGCGCGATTACGACGTGGGGGCGTGGGGGCTGGGTGTAGAATTAACGCGACAGCGACGGCGACGGCGACGGCGATTAATAAAATCAGTTAATGGATCCTTGTATCCGATAAGTAGGCTATATACGATATTTTTCTTTGCTTTTCTTTCAAAACATCTTTCTTGTTCTCTTCACTTTGTTTTTTCTTCAATCACTGTGGGATAAATGGAATAAAAAACCTAATTAGAATATTCTATCAAGGCTTTCAAAAGTTTAGGCCGAACTTTTAAGAAAATTTTCCGAAATTTGACTTTTTTTTTCACTCATTATGACAGCATCCTGTATTTTACTTTATTTTGTGACAAAGGACAACGACTGCAGAGATGCGAATGGCGGAGCATAAGGCAGACACAAAAAACATGCTGCGGGGGATGTGCAAGAGAAATTTACATAGCCAGCTGCCTCTCACACTTTCTCTCTCTCTGGCGCTCTCTTTCGGCCAATTTGAAACGCCGCGAGAATGAAATGCAGCGAATCGAATGGTGAGAACAAAACGTGGCCAGGAAAAATAGAGAACGAGAACGAGTGCCGTGCCAGGCAAAATAAACAAATATAAAAAAAGGATAATCCCCCTCAAGGATATAAGGGGGCGGAAGGGGGTGCCAGAGAGCAAGGAAGAGAAAACGTTCCATTTCCATGCGTACACAAAACAGAGGGCCAAATGTGGCGCTCTTCCCGCAACCCCGTCACTCGCACTCTCCCTCCCACTTTTGGCTCCGACTCTCTGCCAGGCGAAAAATCAATGAAAAATATCTGAAAAAATTGCCGAAATTTTTAGGATTGTTTTGGTTGCGGCCTAATCTTTTGTATTTGCATTGATATTGGCACTTTTTCTTTGTCCATTTTGGGTTTTTTTTTTAAATTAACAATTTTCTATATTTTCTTATTTGGATTCTGATTAAACACTCACACGAACACACAATTGCACATGTTCCCTATGCTAAATTGGGCAATTACCTATAAATTAATGCGCCAGTTCACAATGGACAATAATCTTTGCACAATTGCGCGACAAATGAGGCGATTATTGTATTTACTTTTTCAGTTCAAGCCGGTCTGCATCGTTCTTTTTTGAAAAAAAATTATATCAAAATAAACACAAATATTTTGAAATACCGGAAATTAAACAATTGGATTTTATTCAGACGTTCAGATCCAATTTAAAAGGTCATTTAAAACGGAGAACCACCGCGGCCGAGATATTTCGAGCAGAGTTCAAGAATTCCCGTTAATACAATCTCCGTCCGCGCGGCGAGCGACAGTCCTTTCCCGTCCGATGGTTTTCCTCGACTTTTCCGAATCTTTTCCGACGTTTTGACTCTTCTTCTTAGAGCGCGCGATTGACACTAACAGCTGTTGACCTTAACAGAGGTTCTCTTTTCGACAGTGCCTATGTTATTTAACAGAAACTGTTAAAATTAAATACTGATAAAATACTAAGAAATTTCTTTTTGAAAAAACGCTTTCCAAAGAAAATAACTTTTTTTTTATAAAAATTTAAAATAAATATTTTATTTCAAAGGTAACTTTAACTTGATAAAAAAAATAATGTACCAGAATATAACAAAACTCGTTTTTTATTATATGAATGAAATGAAAATGTAAACAAACTAACAGAGCTAGAAACGTTATGCCGATAAGAGAACTGTTTCAGTTCCACTGTTCCACTCTCAGTTGGGCGCGGGTGAGACTGCGCCTGCCGTTGCGTTTTGGGGCGTTTGTATACAAACGTTTTATGGACCATCTTCTCTCAATTGGACTTGCACGTGCTAAACGAACATAAACAAAATTGACTAATTGCGAATTTAGTTATTAGAATTCAATATTATCCACACTAAAGTAACAAATGTTCACTAAAAAAAACTTGTGTTTACAAAACATTCACTCCAAACGCCCGCATCAACACTTCTCTTTACATCTGTCCCTTTCTAGCAACCACTTCTCTTGCAGAACGCGCTCTCTGTTTTTGCCGGCGGTTCGTATGTGTGTATTGGTTTATTTATAATTCACAGCCGTTTTTATTTTTACTAACGACAACCCATAACATTAAAAAAACTGCTAATTATACCCAACATGGAGCTTAATAAATAATCAGTTTATTTTAATTATATTTCACTCGTATTAATCGCACTTTAAATAATCAACCAGACTTTGCTGTATTTCTGCGGTCTTCATCGATTTCCGATAACTTTAAATTTTGTTTTGGCCAGTGTTGTAAAGTACTTTTTCTGAAAATGGTGCTAAATTAGACAATGTATTCTGTGTCGAATGTAAAATACAGTAAAATACTTCTTTTATATTCTTAATTTTTTTTTACAATTTTTAAATATAAAACTAATATAGAGTTGATTTTTGAGTTTGACAATCAGAATCAAAGTTTTACTGTATAGAAAAAAACTCCCAAATTTAATTAAATTATAAAAAATTTATAAAAACATTAACTTTATTTCTTCTTATTTATTGGTTTCTTTCTTTTTATTTGTCCTTTATTGTTTAAATGTCAAAGACCAATTGTTTTCTTGCAGATGCTTTAAGCAAATGTATCTTAAAAGTACCTCATGTATCTTACAGATACTTGTGTGTATCTTTACAATTCAAAATAGGCCTTCGAAATAAATTTTAAGTTAAAGTTAACCACTAAGACTTTCGCCAACGACCATACCACGCTGAATACATCGGTTCTCGTCCGATCACCGAAATTAAGCAGCGTCAGGCGCGGTTAGTACTTAGATGGGGGACCGCTTGGGAACACCGCGTGTTGTTGGCATCGTCAACAACTTTTTGCCTCCAGTTTTTCAAATTACCCCGTGGTAGTTTATTTTATAAAAAAAAATGTTTTCTATTTTATCTATCTTTTATCCATTTATTTTTATTATTTTAACAAAAAAAAACCATTCCTTTTGACTTTAAGACATGAAAAAATCCAACTGCTCTTGATTTTGACCATCTACCAAAGGTAATGGCAAGACCCTAAAATAGTTGGATTAAATTTTTTACTGGTCAATGTCATTCTTAGAATTGAAACTAGTAGTAATAGTAACAAAACTTTAATTTGGCCACCTTAGTTCAACGTCCTCGATAGTATAGTGGTTAGTATCCCCGCCTGTCACGCGGGAGACCGGGGTTCAATTCCCCGTCGGGGAGATTTCGTATGAATTTTTTTTTGTTTTATTCATTAATATTTTAAAAATGTTATACAAATATTTTATTGGTTTTAAAAAAACGCAAAAAAACACTCCTGTAAAATTTGCTATTTGGCGCTTACGTTATTTTCACACAAAAGGCTCATCAATAAATACACATATACATATGTACATATGAAATACATACTTTTGCAAATAGGGCTCGCTATATTTTCTTTCGGATTTGTTATTAATTTTAACAATATTGATTAAAACAAAAATATTAAAATTTAAGAAAAAAATTAAAAAATAATAATTAAAAAGTAAAAAAATTAAACATCTCCCCGACGGGGAATTGAACCCCGGTCTCCCGCGTGACAGGCGGGGATACTAACCACTATACTATCGAGGATGTTGAGCGCAGCGTGTCAAACTGTGTTGTTCAAGCAAAGGTGGCTGTAATAGGAACGAGTGGATTGAGGTTTCAATCAACGCGTATTCAAAATTAAAATGTTGTTAAAGAAAAATATTTTGGCTGAGACCCCAATGTTCTCTCTCGTGTTTCGTGTTTAAGCTGCAGCAGACTTTTTAGCCAGAAACTCTTCGCGTGCCGCCCGCTTGACTGTCTTTCCATTTGGATTTGCCGGAAGATGCTCCGTAAACTCAACTCCGGCATGAAGGTGTTTATACACGGCAGGCAGTCGCTTGGCCACATGATCGATGATTTCTTGCTCTGTGATGGAGGCATCCTTCTTCTTAACCACTAAGGCACCAGCGGAGTCTCCATTCTTTTCGTCGTAAATGCCCACCACGCTTACCTCCTGGACCTGAGGCAGCTCCGATATGGTAGCCTCAATTTCGGATGGCCAGTAGTGATTTCCCTGGAACTTGAGGATCTCTTTTTTGCGGTCCACAATGAACAGTAGATTCTGTTCGTTGAAGTAGCCCAGATCGCCGGTGTGGTACCATCCATCAAAGTCCTGCATGCGTCGTGACTCGAAAGGATTGCCATAGTATCCATTCCAGGGTAGGCCAGTTTTCACGTAGATCTCACCCACTTCATTGTAGGTCAAGAACTTTCCGTCGTCATCTACGATTCGAATTTGTACTCCAGGTAAAGGTTTGCCCGCCGAGTTCCCGCTTTTCAATCCCATGACGGCGGTTACGCCACCGGCTTCAGTAAATCCATATCCGGATGTCAGGACACAATTAGGTACGAGTTCCTGGAGACGATTCAGGGTTTCAATGGATGTGATGCCTCCGCCGTAAAATATACTTTTTAAAGAGGCCAAAGATTCCTTAGTGGCCGCCGGGCAGTTCACCAAAGCGGATAAATGTCTTGGCGGAAAGATGGCATTGCTGATCTTGTACTTCTCCACCAGTTGGACAAAATATTCGGCAGAAAAGGGTCTGTTGGTAATGACACGGCTACAGCCGATTGTGGTAGACATGATGAAGGAGGTCAGGCCACTGTACCAATCCAAACCACTGGCGGAGTATGTGACCATTTCGTTATTCATCATACTAAATAAATATATTAAAGTTAAGAGAATCTTTGGAGAATTTTTTTACCTTTAAGACTTACAAGGGGTCTTGCAGTAAGGTCCGATTAGAAATACAAACAGCTTTGGGTAAGCCAGTGGTCCCCGAAGAGCACAGAATAGCCACCGTTTGGTCGCCACCTTCCTTTAGGGGTTCCGGCCTTAAAGAAATCATGTTAATCCCTCGTCCAACAGCGCTTTCATATACCAACTCACTGATAAAAGATCTCGGTTGGAGTGGGATCCAGCAAGCTCTCAATGTGCGGTACTCCTTGAACGGGTTCGGTGATTGTGTAGATCTCCGGTTTCCACGCAATGGTTGCTGCCTGGACCTTTTGATAGTCTTGGCCATCGCAGAATATCAGGCCTGGTCTGGTTATGGAGAATATATGGTTGGTAGTAGCTGTAAACAATATCCGTTGGTTATTCGGAAAATAATCGTTAAAGGAAAGTAAATACAAACCCTCATCGATAGTCGGATTTACTGCGTGAAAGGGTGTTGCATTTAGAAGACAAGCGACTCCTAAGGGCATTACGTAAGTGGAGTTCCTGGCAGCAATGCCTATGACATCTGAGTGCTTGAGCCCTCGTTTCTTAAAAAACTGCGCCATCCGAATGGCCCACAAAATACCTTGCTCAAAGTTCACTGACACGCCATCAATATCGTTGATCTAAAAGTAGTTCCTGATTAAAAAAAACCGCTGACTCTTCACTTTAAATAGTGACTCACCTGGAACACATTTTTTGGAAAGGTTCTCATCGTGTTGCAGATAATCTTTCCCAAGGAAGTTTCCTCTTTATAGACTGAGGAGCGTTTTGATCCGCTCCATATCCTGTCCCGGACATCGTAGGTCGTGGGAAATGCCTCCATTTTTTCAGCCGATCGACGACGTCTTTAATAATCACTTTATAAACTGTGACTGCCTCTAACTGGCAAGTGGAACCTTATTTATAGTGATAACCACATGGGAATAAACTGCCTGTAATGGATGACCTGCATCAACTAAACACCTGATTTTCAACAAAGTTCTTATCTCAATAACAATTTTCTAATACTTCCAAATCTTATCAGAACAATTTGTGAAAACTCTAAGTCATATAGGAAGTAATAATAGGAAACTTAAGACTGTTTTTAAAACTAGCGAAAAATGACACAGTTCGTAAAAGACAATAATCTTTAAGAATATTGGTACATAGATAGTGGTAGGAGTTAGAATAATACTTGTTTTATGACTTGTCACCAAAATAAGGTTTTTTTTATTTTATATAAATATTGTATCCGTCCAAAATTAGCTATCGTTTCTTGCGTTCTTTATTATTGAGTAGTTTTCAGAAACCACCTCATAAACCATAATCCTACATATTATTTGTAATTGACGTTAAGAGGAAACTTAAGTGCTAGGCATTATTGGTAAACTGCAGTACATTATGGCAAATTACCATTCCAAGTGTACATTAATACTTTTTAAGGTCCATTGAGGTCCAAACAACGGAGCTTAAACAACAATAAGTTGGAAGATTCAAGGCATCAATGGCTCTTAGTAGTTTTAAGCTCCGGAAAATTTTAAGCGGTGGTCAGGTCCTGTTGCTACGCTTTTACATGGCGAATTTATATCACCTCGGATGGATGCGTCTCCAATACAGCAAGCCTCGCAATGAGGTTCAATTGACAAGCAATAGTATCAAGACATCAAGAATAATTTTAGTGTTCTTAATTTTTTATCAAACAAACGTCGTTTTCGATGGCTTAGGCTTTCAGGACGATATCGGAATACTAGGATACATGCTCGTTTCATTTATTACTCCGCGTACTGCTATTGAAAAACAAGTCCGGCTAATCAACAATTTTTTAAGGATTTCATCAAAACTTAATCAGCATTGTAAAGTTAAAATTTTGTGGGACTGGTCTATTCTAATTGCACTCATTTTAAAAATAATATATGTAGGTATGATGGTCGAGTTCTATTCCGAGGCCAGCGTTGTAGAACTTTTGTTCGTCCTGCCAAGAATGGTAATGTTTTGGGTAATTTTCGTAATTTGCCACCTCACTAGCATAGCTATTTCCCTTCTTGTCGGATATACCGAGTGGGTTACAAATAAAATTTCTTCTATCGAAGAGAAGATACCCCAAGCTATCCAGCAAAATAAGATGCGAGACGTTAAAAGATTGATACGAAAAATTACATCACTGCTGAATCTTCATCAAATGTGTAAAAGGATTACGGGACAGATCTTTGACTGCCTAGGGCCCCAGATAGTTCTTCTAGCATTCTGTAATCTATGTTTTCTTCCAACACTCCACTTTCAAGATCTAGATTTCAAGTTGATAAATATTCTTGGCCTCTACGGCCTAAAAGATTTTATTTTTTCTCTAGAGAAAATAACGATTGGGGCTCGACGGAAGTATTTCTTTTCCGAAAGAGATTGGTGGAATCATACCTTTATCACTAATTTGGCCAGGCCTCAACGAAAGGTTTTCGGCTTGGTTACCCCAAATAGACAATTACTTTTTCGAATAATTTTTGCAAACTGTAGTCGTATGTATCTAAAATATATGTGGTTACGTATGAAAATGAAAAACGAAAGGAACAAATTGTGAATTTTAAGTTTCCTCTTATTACTAAAATATTAACTAAAAATATTAAAATATTAACTTATTATCTAAAATCTATGAAAATATATCTAAGATTGTAAAGAACAAAATAAAAAAAAAAATATAAAATTTGTATTTACATTAATTCAGATCGAATTTTTTTGTTAGGGCTCTTTTTTTAAGTTTTTGTCTCAGGAGCAGTATTTTATATAATAATATATATAATTACTGACGGTCCTTGGTAAATAAAATAAACCTTTTTCAAAGTAATATTCAACCATCAAGTACTCTTTTATTTAACTTTAAGAAAAATTTAACAAATCGAAATTCAAAATTAACGCTTCTTTCTGATAACAATCCACCTGGAAAGTATCGGTATTTCTCTGTGAATGGCAGGGTTGCCAACGAAGCGAAAAAAAAATTAAATTGACAATAAACCGAAATTTTCATAACATTTCTGGTAGTTATATCCATAAATATGAGTCTGGTGCGTCTGCGGTCGTTGCGTAATCTGGAATGTAGCACTTTTGGCTGCGTCTGGAATAATATCACTCTTCGCAGCACCGCTGTGACTGCCGGCAAAAACAGCAACCACCTCAGTAACCCGGCCGCCATTAGACCGCTGAACACTCTTGCTGGAGGCAGTACATATCCCATTCTAACCAAGAAATTCGTTTTTACTGAACCAAAACGCCATTACGCGAGCAAATCTGTTGCTAAGAAAATGGAGGAACACTGCGTAGTACCCGACGTTATTGAAAAGGCTCCGAAGGCCACTGCCACTGTGGATTATCCATGCGATATCAGCGTAAAGCCGGGCCAGGTGCTGACCCCCACCCAGGTGAAGGATGAACCCTGCGTTAAATGGGAGGCGGATAGCTCGAAGCTTTACACCCTCTGCATGACCGATCCGGATGCCCCCAGTCGCAAGGATCCCAAGTTCCGCGAGTGGCACCACTGGCTGGTTGGCAACATTCCCGGCTGCGATGTCTCCAAAGGGGAGGTGCTTTCTGCCTACGTGGGTTCAGGTCCTCCGCCGGACACTGGTCTTCACCGATACGTCTTTCTCATTTATGAGCAGAAATGCAAGCTCACCTTCGATGAGAAGCGTCTGCCGAACAACAGCGGCGATGGACGTGGAGGCTTCAAGATTGCAAACTTCGCCAAGAAGTACGACCTCGGCAATCCCATTGCCGGCAATCTGTATCAGGCAGAGTACGACGACTATGTACCCATTCTCTATAAGCAGTTGGGAGCTTAATGGTCAAACCTTGAGTGATACCCTGAGCAGCATAATTATATAATTGCACCACGAATTGGATTCAAAAACTGCAAATGTATTATTAAAGAATATGCTATAAAAGACTTTGTAACCCTTGATGAAACGGGCAATAAAATTGTTAAGGATTTGGGATAAACTGTCTGATTTTATCATTAACACCAATGAACCAACTCCTTCGGGGAACTGCCTTACCATTAAATGGATCGTAGGCTTCGAGATCAGAACATGTAAATGTTTGCTGGCAGGCTATTTATTTTCGATTATTCCAATTACAAAACTAATTATAAGTAGGATTCATCTAAGGTCTTACAATCATCCAAAAATTGATCTTTTTGTTTCGTAAATTTTAAAACACTATTCGTATTATTGGAGCATAATTATTTTTCTGCTGATCTGTATTCTTCGCGCGTCTTTATTTAAATATACTACTTGTTGTAGACATCTGTATTTTTTCAGTTAATGGATATAAAGGTCTTTAATCTAGTTGCGTAACATTATGTTCCATATAATAATCCTGAAGACGATCTACAATGCATCGGATGTGTGTTCTGCAATACGGTCGAACTTTGAGTAAATGGAGATGCATGTTCGTTTCCAAATATCAGTTACTCTTCGTCTGCAGCCGGAAATATTTCGGCGTGTTTCTCCCACTCGGTAGCGCTAATTGCCTAGAAATATAATTTATACATTAGGGGTCAACTCGTAACCACGTGATACTCGCGGATCAAACTCACAAATAGTTCATCAAAGGCCTGCTTGGCCAGCCAGTGGAAGCATGGGCTCTTCCACTCTCGAGCCGTAGCCTGCTGATCGCGGACGGCGTCTTCGGTCTTGGAAGTGGAGTTGGCGATTTCCTTATACTTCAGCCACAAGTAGACCATACTCTTCATCTTGTATACCCAGAGCTCGTTCGGTATTCCGCGAATAATATCCTGGATTTCCTGCATGTTCACCTCGGTGAGATTCTCCAAGAAAGTCCGATTCATCAGGGTGAAGATAGTTTTCATAGTGTCGAACGGCACATCGGCGTTCTTGCCCAGTCCGTAGTGGGCCGACTTGATAATAGCGAATACGACCTGCTCGGTGGTGAGCTTTGGTAAATTGGGTAGGAAGCAGTGCTCCAAGTTGAGGTCACCGCAGTCCTTGAGCTGCTTGTTAATCTCATTGCCGACGTTCTTGTAGTCCTTCCACCAGTTGGCCCAATCGTTGTACTTCTTCGACTCGTATAGCGGTTCCCACTCGCTTCGTATACGTTTCCGGGTACGCTTGCTGACCTTACGGGATGATTTTCCATCGTCCGCGCCTTCATCATCCGAATCCTCGTTCAGCACAACGGCAGCCGACGAATAGTCCTCGTCATCGGCGTCCTGGTTTGTACTGTAATTGAATTGCTGCTCAAAGAAGGCCACTGCGTATGAGTCGGCCTCCGGCTGGGGTATCTTCCTCGGCTGATCGTTCAGATAGGCAATCTTAAAGCCGCCCATGAGGAAGCCGCGCTTTACGGGCCACACGACGCCACTTCTTCTCGGCCTTAGATACAGGCTCGTTTGACTGTGGTGGTGGTGGAGCTACGCGCTTTTGTCCTGCAAGAACAATACAATTAAATAAGGCTACCGAATAATGGTAATAATTCTTACCGATTTCCGGATCTAGAATATTAGTATATGGAATATTTTTCGAAATCTGGCCAGATTTTGCACCTTGAGCTGCAGCTGCAGTCCTTGCCGGTCCTTGGCTACCTCTAACGACCTGAGGTCCACTCTTTCCAGCGTTTCCAGTTCTAGCAACGTTTCCAGCTCTACCTGCGACTGGTCCGGTCTTAGAAGCGCTATTTTCAACTTTTCCTGCGGGTCCGGGTTTTCCAGTTTGCTGTCCAGAAACGGGTATTTTCTTTGCTACGGTACTGGCGCTGCTGGCATTGGGAACCGCCTTGGTCGGCTTCAACTTGTTTGGTGGCCCGATCGGAGCCTTGTTCTGAACGCCCACAGGCTTCGCCAATGGTTTGTTTCCATTGTTGGAAATGCTGTTGCGGACTACGGCTGCAGTCTTCGGATTGTTACGAATATTCTGCACGACCTTCGCAACTGGCTGTTGTACTGGCTTGCGAACAGCTCCTCCGTTGTTAAGGTTAACCTTTTGAAGCTGGTTGCGCTTCGAGTTAAAAGCACGCTGGCTGGCTTCCCATCCAGAGAGAGCGCCACCTCCACCACCTCCGCTGCCGGATTGATACCCGGAACTCTGGAATGAGCTGGACTGTGAGTTGTTCCAGTTGCGAGAGTTGGCTTCCTGGAAGCTGCGGCTAATGTTGTTGCTAAAGCCTGATCCTCCTGTGTTGTTAAAGCCGGCTGAGTTGTTGAAGCCTCCTGGTCCTCCGGAATTGTTGTAACCTCCAGACCTTCCAGCATTGTTGTAACCTCCTCCCGATCCTCCAGAATTGTTGTAACCTCCTGATGCTCCAGAATTATTGAAGCCTCCGGAACCACTTGAATTATTGAAGCCTCCAGATCCTCCAGAGTTGTTGTAGCCTCCAGATACCCCAGAGTTATTATTGAATCCCCCCGATCCACGGTTGTTAAAGTTGTCAAAATCGCGATTGTCGTCCTGCATGTTGGATCGAGAGGACCCAAAGTTCTGGGCGAAATTACCGCCACCTTCGTTGCGTCCAAAATTGTCATTAAAACCAGGACGCTGAGCCCCGTAGTTGGGCGATGACTGCTCGCGCAGATTGTCGTTTAAATTACCGTTTCCGCCAAAGGAACGAGAATTGCCTCCTCCAAAGGAGGGACCATCGTTTTGTCCAAAAGAACCCCGATTCCTGAACTCATCATCAAAAAATCTTGACTGCGACTGCTGGTTGCCGCGATTAAAATTATCCTGATTAAAATTACCGGAGTTGCGTTGCGGCTGGTCCTGGTCCATTGGTCGTCCCTGCGGACGGTAGTTGTCCTCGAAGTCTCCGCGGCGCATATCGGCATTGTTCGAGTTCTCGAAGCGTTGGTTATTCGAATTAAAACCACCGCGGTCATCAAAAGAGCGCCAATTGTTGTTGGAGGCAGGCCCAGGCCCATTAAAATCGCGGTTGTTGCCACTGCCTTGGTTATTAAAGCCGCCGCGGTTGAAGTTTCCGCCGTCCGGACTCTGGTTACGGTTGTTTCCGTATCCACCACCGCCGCCTCCTCCATAATTACCGAATCCAGAAGAACTTCCAAACGAACTAGACTGAAGGCCCAAGCCGCCACCGCCAGAGGAAGTTCCCATTCCACGCCGCTGGCCGACTCCGTAAGCGTCTCTACTCATTTGACGAAAGTCCATTGCGTTTGGGATCTCAGGTATCTGCTGCTTAGCCTGAGTTTACCCTAGCTGCGCCGATTGAAAAATGCCCCGAACTATTATAGATTTCTCTAGTTTTCAACACAAATTTTCTTCGAGTCTGAAAATGTTTCCCGAAATTTTCGCAGTTTGGCAGTCAGGGTTGCAAGACGAATGAAAAACCGGCTATATATACGGCTTTTTTACAATACAATCAGTGTTGCCAACTATCGATTGTCACTTGAATTTTATGAAAGTTATCGATATGTTCATAAAAGTGTTTATATGATATTTAAAAATATTTATTAAAAATATCATACCACAATTTTTTTTTTCTTTTTGTGCGAGGTATGAAGTAATTTTTGCATATTAGGGGAACTTTTTTATTACCCAATTTTTAACTTTACAAATTCAAATACAAATGGAAAATGTTTAAAAACATTTTAAGTTTTGTTTTGAAGGATATTCGCTTTATGACCTAAAGTTATAAATTAAAGGTTAAATCACAATTTTTTATTAAATCATGGTATATAATATATTATAACTTGTTCATTAACTATTTACTTTTGAGGACATTGTTGATAAATGACCGTAAATTAACCGTTTAATTTACCGTTTAATGACCGTTTAATTAATTAAATAATACCATAAATTAAGTTTAATACCATTTCCAGTCTTTTTAACTAATGCAAATTTGGAGATGGCTGCAATATAAAAATGTTGTTTCTTAATGAAAAAACAGAGTTTGTTCAAAAACTGCATTTTATTTGGACTAATTTGAATAAACTGTACCTTTAACCGCTATAAGACCACTTGATTGTGTCCAATTCGAGCAGATAGATTCCAATATTTCAGGTGTAGTAAAAGTGTAAGTAGTTTTTGTGCCTAAATTTAACCATGCTGTATAAATGGTTTTATTAAAAATAGTAATTAACAAATTTGTAAATATTTGGTGTTTAATAACATTAAATAAATGATCAAAATATATTATTATGAATACATAAATGTTACAGTTTCGAAGATTTGGTTTGTATATAAGTCCTGATAGGTTCCTCAGAAAATTTCTACCTGTTTTACCATTTTTTTAATAGATTTTAGATTATTATTTCATCTCCTTCCAGTTCCTCAAATATATAAAAAAAAGAAAATCGAACTTTGGCAGAGTCAGGCTTACTCCAATTGCCATTTATCGTTTTCCATTCCTTATGAAATTATGAAATAAATCAAGAGTGGGTCATATTTCCATGTTTAGTTACATTTTACACAAACTTAAGTTTTTAAAAAAATAAAAAATTGTACTAAATACGGTTCCATTAGTCATTCAATTTAATGTAAACCCAAACTTCTTCCAAAGTTCGAGGAGCGCTGCATGAGAGAACTCACAAATACCTGCAACATGAATTTTTTTCGAAAAGAGGAAAAAACGGACAAAACCCCTTTTTAGAAATTAATTTTATGGTAATTTAAAAAAAAAAACATAAAACAAAAAAACATTACAAGGCACTTGGAGGCACTTAAAAGAAAACCTTACCGGAACGCATGTACTTTTGTTAGAAAAACCTACAAAACATTTGCAACACATTGGACAAAACAACAGAAACATTTATAAATATAGAAAAACGTTTAAAATTATAAATTTAAATACCTTGACCTATTTTTTCTATAAAGACACTTTTAGCTTTTAATGTTCGCTTTAATTGACTCCGTAATAAAAAATCTTAAAAATATTTTGTTCCCAGATTTTGATGCAGATTTATGGAGAATCGATCGACAAATCGTTTAAAGTATTCCGCTCAAGAATCGGATGAATATTTCCTAAGATATGGCCTACGCAGTGGGTCATATGGGGCTTCCATGCATTTTGCACATTTTGAAGGGGACGACCCAGAAAATTTGACAAAAAATCTTAAAAATATTTTGTTTCCAGATTTTGATGCAGATTTATGGAGAATCGATCCACAAATCGTTTAAAGTTTTCCACTCAAGAATCGGATGAATATTTCCTAAGATATGGCCTACGCAGTGGGTCATATGGGGCTCCCCATGCATTTTGCACATTTTGAAGGGGACAGCCCAGAAAATTTATTTTAAATCTTTAAAATATTTTGTTCCCAGATTTTTATGCAGATTTATGGAGAATCGATCCACAAATCGTTTAAAGTATTCCGCTCAAGAATCGGATGAATATTTTCTAAGATATGGCCTACGCAGTGGGTCATATGGGGCTTCCATGCATTTTGCACATTTTGAAGGGGACAGCCCAGAAAATTTGACAAAAAATCTTAAAAATATTTTGTTTCCAGATTTTGATGCAGATTTATGAAGAATCGATCCACAAATCGTTTAAAGTATTCCACTCAAGAATCGGATGAATATTTCCTAAGATATGGCCTACGCAGTGGGTCATATGGGGCTTCCATGCATTTTGCACATTTTGAAGGGGACAGCCCAGAAAATTTGACAAAAAATCTTTAAAATATTTTGTTCCCAGATTTGGATGCAGATTTATGAAGAAATCGATCCACAAATCGTTTAAGGTATTCCGTTCAAGAATCGGATGAATATTTCCTAAGATATGGCCTACGCAGTGGGTCATACGGGGCTCCCCATGCATTTTGCACATTTTGAAGGGGACAGCCCAGAAAATTTGACAAAAAATCTTAAAAATATTTTGTTTTCAGATTTTGATGCAGATTTATGGAGAATCGATCCACAAATCGTTTAAAGTATTCCGCTCAAGAATCGGATGAATATTTCCTAAGATATGGCCTACGCAGTGGGTCATATGGGGCTCCCCATGCATTTTGCACATTTTGAAGGGGACAGCCCAGAAAATTTATTTTAAATCTTTAAAATAATTTATTCTCAGATTTTGATGCAGATTTATGGAGAATCGATCCACAAATCGTTTAAAGTATTCCGTTCAAGAATCGGATGAATATTTCCTAAGATATGGCCTACGCAGTGGGTCATACGGGGCTCCCCATGCATTTTGCACATTTTGAAGGGGACAGCCCAGAAAATTTGACAAAAAATCTTTAAAATATTTTGTTCCCAGATTTTGATGCAGATTTATGAAGAAATCGATCCACAAATCGTTTAAGGTATTCCGTTCAAGAATCGGATGAATATTTCCTAAGATATGGCCTTCGCAGTGGGTCATATGGGGCTTCCATGCATTTTGCACATTTTGAAGGGGACAGCCCAGAAAATTTGACAAAAAATCTTAAAAATATTTTGTTTTCAGATTTTGATGCAGATTTATGGAGAATCGATCCACAAATCGTTTAAAGTATTCCGCTCAAGAATCGGATGAATATTTCCTAAGATATGGCCTTCGCAGTGGGTCATATGGGGCTCCCCATACATTCTGCACATTTTGAAGGGTACAGCCCAGAAAATTTGACAAAAAATCTTAAAAATATTTTGTTCCCAGATTTGGATGCAGATTTATGGAGAATCGATCCACAAATCGTTTAAAGTATTCCGCTCAAGAATCGGATGAATATTTCCTAAGATATGGCCTTCGCAGTGGGTCATATGGGGCTCCCCATGCATTTTGCACATTTTGAAGGGGACAGCCCAGAAAGTTTGACAAAAAATCTTAAAAATATTTTGTTCCCAGATTTGGATGCAGATTTATGGAGAATCGATCCACAAATCGTTTAAAGTATTCCGCTCAAGAATCGGATGAATATTTCCTAAGATATGGCCTTCGCAGTGGGTCATATGGGGCTCCCCATGCATTCTGCACATTTTGAAGGGTACAGCCCAGAAAATTTGACAAAAAATCTTAAAAATATTTTGTTCCCAGATTTTGATGCAGATTTATGAAAAATCGATCCACAAATCGTTTAAGGTATTCCGTTTAAGAATCGGATGAATATTTCCTAAGATATGGCCTTCGCAGTGGGTCATACGGGGCTCCCCGATGCATTCTGCACATTTTGAAGGGGACAGCCCAGAAAATTTGACAAAAAATCTTTAAAATAATTTATTCTCAGATTTTGATGCAGATTTGTGGAGAATCGATCCACAAATCGTTTAAGGTATTCCGTTTAAGAATCGGATGAATATTTCCTAAGATATGGCCTTCGCAGTGGGTCATACGGGGCTCCCCATGCATTCTGCACATTTTGAAGGGGACAGCCCAGAAAATTTGACAAAAAATCTTTAAAATAATTTATTCTCAGATTTTGATGCAGATTTATGGAGAATCGATCCAAAAATCGTTTAAGGTATTCCGTTCAAGAATCGGATGAATATTTCCTAAGATATGGCCTTCGCAGTGGGTCATACGGGGCTCCCCATGCATTCTGCACATTTTGAAGGGGACAGCCCAGAAAATTTGACAAAAAATCTTAAAAATAATTTATTCTCAGATTTTGATGCAGATTTATGGAGAATCGATCCACAAATCGTTTAAGGTATTCCGTTCAAGAATCGGATGAATATTTCCTAAGATATGGCCTGCGCAGTGGGGCAAAAGGAACCCCCCATGCATTCTGCACATTTTGAAGGGGACAGCCCAGAAAATTTGACAAGAAATCTTAAAAATATTTTGTTCCCAGATTTTGATGCAGATTTATGGAGAATCGATCCACAAATCGTTTAAGGTATTCCGTTCAAGAATCGGATGAATATTTCCTAAGATATGGCCTACGCAGTGGGGCAAAAGGAACCCCCCATGCATTCTGCACACTTTGAAGGGGACAGCCCAGAAAATTTGACAAAAAATCTTAAAAATATTTTGTTCCCTGATTTTGATGCAGATTTATGGAGAATCGATCCACAAATCGTTTAAAGTATTCCGTTTAAGAATCGGATGAATATTTCCAAAGATATGGCCTTCGCAGTGGGTCATATGGGGCTCCCCATGCATTTTGCACATTTTGAAGGGGACAGCCCAGAAAATTTGACAAAAAATCTTAAAAATATTTTGTTCCCAGATTTTGATGCAGATTTATGGAGAATCGATCCACAAATCGTTTAAGGTATTCCGCTCAAGAATCGGATGAATATTTCCTGAGGTATGGCCTTCGCAATGGGTCATATGGGGCTCCCCATGCATTTTGCACATTTTGACAGCCCAGAAAATTTGACAAAAAATCTTAAAAATATTTTGTTCCCAGATTTTGATGCAGATTTATGGAGAATCGATCCACAAATCGTTTAAGGTATTCCGTTCGAGAATCGGATGAATATTTCCTATGATATGGCCTTCGCAGTGGGTCATATGGGGCTTCCATGCATTTTGCACATTTTGAAGGGGACAGCCCAGAAAATTTGACAAAAAATCTTAAAAATATTTTGTTCCCAGATTTGGATGCAGATTTATGGAGAATCGATCCACAAATCGTTTAAGGTATCCCGTTCAAGAATCGGATGAATATTTCCTAAGATATGGCCTTCGCAGTGGGTCATATGGGGCTTCCATGCATTTTGCACATTTTGAAGGGGACAGCCCAGAAAATTTGACAAAAAATCTTAAAAATATTTTGTTCCCAGATTTGGATGCAGATTTATGGAGAATCGATCCACAAATCGTTTAAGGTATCCCGTTCAAGAATCGGATGAATATTTCCTATGATATGGCCTTCGCAGTGGGTCATATGGGGCTCCCCATGCATTTTGCACATTTTGAAGGGGACAGCCCAGAAAATTTGACAAAAAATCTTTAAAATATTTTGTTCCCAGATTTGGATGCAGATTTATGGAGAATCGATCCACAAATCGTTTAAGGTATCCCGTTCAAGAATCGGATGAATATTTCCTAAGATATGGCCTTCGCAGTGGGTCATATGGGGCTTCCATGCATTTTGCACATTTTGAAGGGGACAGCCCAGAAAATTTGACAAAAAATCTTTAAAATATTTTGTTCCCAGATTTTGATGCAGATTTATGAAAAATCGATCCAAAAATCGTTTAAGGTATTTCGTTTAAGAATCGGATGAATATTTCCTTTGCCCACCTGTTAAATCCGCCACTGCTCACTAGCTGCAAGTTGTGAACATTTTCCCGCGTTTTTAGGCTTAAAAAAAACGACACTGACCAGCTGACTTTAAAAGCGCGCAGAATACTAAAGGTATTCCGGAAAAATCTTTCCAAGAGAAATGTCCAGGTCGGGCCGCCCTCTCCATTATCGACAGCTTTAGCTTCGCAGTGACTAGTCGTGCCGCCCTCTCTGTATTTTACTTGAGTCCCTGCCTGCACCATAAGCTGGTCTATCTGATGATTATCCGGCTTTTATCTGGATGCAGGAATAAACATTTATAACGTTTTAAACTACATAAATTCGTCTTTTTATTTGACTGGCATTGAAAACCCTCAATGACCAAACAGATACCAAAAGAATGAAAAACTAACTTCGGGCACTATGCTTTATGGTTAGTGTCAATATTAGCCACCAATGTTAAACCAAGATAAAACACTTAACGCTACATATTTTACATTTTTGATAAATTCACGAAAGTGAGGCACAAAAATAACATTTAAATTTTGCATTTATTATTAATATATATACATAAGACGGTTACTTAATTACTAATAACCGGAACGCGAATCTGCAGCATCTGGAAAGCAATAAAAAATGAATATTAGATTTTAGAATAGTTCGATCTTCCCATTCATATGACGGCAATCACCTTGCTGGTTTTATCAAAAAGAGCCTGAGCACGATCCTGCTGGAGGCGGTAGTTAACAAATTTGTCAAACACATAGCCGTGTTTCGAGGACTCCACGAGGATGCGATCTTCGCCAATGTCCAAGCTAACCTCTTGTGAGGATACCTGCATGATAGGCCATTAAACAATTATTTATTAATTACAATTATAAGATCTTAACATACGCAGTTGGGTAGGTAGATCTCGGCGCGAATTTCGTCAACTGCCTCATCACGGACCCGAGCTCGAATTTTGTACTGCAAGTCCTGAGCGGCGCCAGTCGATCCTCGGCTGCTCTTAATGACTGCTGCATCCTTTTCGTTGATCTCTTGGACAAGTTTTCCAGTGTTCTCGGCAGATGCGAGGCGATCTTTGCCGCCTGGGGCTGCTGCTTGAGCACCAGACCCCGGCTGAGCTTTCTTCACATCATCATTGCGTACCCGATGCGATACTAGGGTGCCGATGAATTTTCGATTATTCAGAATTATTGTTTTTTCCATGGAAATTTGAATATTGAACTTTTCGCTCATTGCCTCGGCCACTATTTGCAAAAAGAAATTTTTGAATAGCTGCGACTTCAGAATCTTGACCAGGAACTGGGGATGGATGGCGATGTCGCAGACGTCAACGGTTTTGTCCGAACGATCCTTGGTCAGTCTGGGCTCCGAGATGCTCATTGGCACCCGGAACGAGCCGGGAGTGGTGGACTCCAGAATGGCGATCAGCTCCTCCTCAGTGACATCTTCTGGAGGGGGAACCTCCCGAGCCTGGCACACGTTAATGAAGAACTTCTCGTTGCTGTTCACCTTAAAGCTCTTCACACAGATTCCTGCGGGATAGGGAAAATGGGAGACGGGGAAACGGGATTAATTTGGAGGACTTAAACCTATCTTTTGGTATTTATTTTCTAGATATGATGAGGGTTCGTAAAAATGTGACGCGATCGTATCTAAACGGTTCCTTTATTGTTGCTGTTTCATTATTCCGTTTACAAATTATACTCATAGTTCGTTGAAACTAATTTAGTAAACCTAAGGCTAGTAGTAATGATCAATTATTTATTCTTCCAGCTTTGGATAGATTTTGTTGTGCTCCGGCCAGGCTATCTCGCTGATTGCCTGCAAAGGAAAGATATGCTTGGTGAGTAGTGGATCTAACAGAAAATCTGAAAGTTTTGACCCTACCTTGAGCTCATCAAATGCCTGCTTGGCCAGCCAGTGAAACAGGGGATTCTCCCAATTGCGAGAAACAGCTTTCAGTTCGCCAACCGACTGAACGAATGTTGTGGTGCGTGTCTTGAGACTGTCGTGAATCATCTTCCAGAGGAAGATCATGCTGCGGATTTTGTACAACCACAAATGGTTTGGAATACCGCGAATGAGGTCCTGCACCTGGGCCATATGCTCCTCCGAAAGACTGTTCAGAAAAGACTCGCTCATGAGCAGGAATATCGAACGCATGTTGTGGTACACCTTGTTGGTATTCTTCTCCAGACCCATGTGGGCCGCCTTTAAAACCCTATTGACGATTTGCTCCGGCGTGTCTTTTCTATAGGTTGTGCTAAATCGATGCTGCAAGTTGATGTTTCCGAACTTCTCGAGTTGTTTGTTGATTTCGGCGCCGCACCACTTGAAGTCCTTCCACCAGTCCTTCCAGTCCTTGTAGTTCCGCTCCCTATAAATCTTCGTCCACATTTTGCGGAGGCGCATGCGAATCTTTTTGTTGGCGCGCCCATTGTTCTTGCCGCCCCCCTTGCCACCGATCCCAGATCGGCTCGAGTCTACTGACTCCGTGTCTGATTCCGACTCCTCGTGGTTGTCGATAGCCCCATTCGCGTTGGCGTATATGTTGGTGTTGTAGTTCGGTTGCTGCTCGAAGAAGGTGACGGCATAGGACTCTCCCTCGGGCTGAGGCAGGCGCTTGAGATTGGTTTTGATGTACGGCAGGCTGAAGCCGCCGATAACAAAGGCCGGACTCTTAGAAACTCTGCGGCGCTTTTGAGACTCCCGACCAGAGGTCTCGACAGCCCTCTTTTGGCCTGCAAAATGGGATAGGGCTTTAGTTATTTAAAGGCAACTGGCGCCGAGGGTGGAATGCGAGCCATTCTGACATATTGGGTCATAATGCTTGCACCTCCAACTCAGTGTCTCAAGTCGGATCCAAACAAAAAAGTAGGAACCATTTATACAAAATAATAATCTACGAAAACTAGTATTTAAAGGGTTATTTAACTTTAAGCAACTAACTATGGTTCCAATTTTTTTTTAATAATTTTAGTTTTGGTGTTCAAAGATCAGCTCAGTCCTTACCAGCTCGTGGGTTTTCGTTTCTTTTGGCCAAATGGCTTGGCGGATGAGCACCAGAATTGGAGTTTCGGCCTTGACCCGTCGGCGAATTAGATCTGTTTTGGTTTGGACCACGAACGTGTGGGTTTCCTCCTTGGGGCTTGTGTTGAACCCGGCTCCCTGAGCCATAATCTCTTGGACCACGAAGATTTGCGTCTTGGCTATTGGATCTTGGCCCTCCCGGGTTGGTATTTCTCCCCATTCTTCGGTCTGGGCTTGTTCTTGGTCCATTCCTAGCTTTGTTTGGGCCCTCCAGACTATTGTGGCGACGGCGATTTGGTGGCGATCCGCGATCTCCCTGATACTGATTCCGTGGAATGTTGGGGTTATTTGAGTCCCGGTATACACCATGCTTTCGTGGCGAAATGCGGGGACTGTCACCAACATGGTCATTATTGGACCGATCGAAGTGGTCAGAGAAGTCGCGGCGTTCTCTTTCGCCTTCGTTACTAAAGTGGCGATGATGTCCGAGTAGTGGTACCTGATCCCGCTGACCGCCGTCATCCAAGTAGCGATTGTGATCATTGAAGGCTTCATCTTCCATTTGATGGTCCTCGAAGCTGCTTTCATTAGGATTGAAGAAACCTGGTCTATCGAAGTTGTCTTGCCGCTGGTGTCCGCCGCGGAAGCGGTCATGATGAACATTTCTTCCAATGGGGAATCTTTGATCCTCCTCCTCAAAGGACTCGTTGCGGCCGTGGTTGCCCGCGAACCCTCTTTCCGGCCGATCTATCAAGTCGGTGCGACAGATCGTTATTTGGTTGTCATGAACTATGCGTTGATAGTTGCGTCCGATTATGGGCCGTACAGGTTCCTGGTATGGTTGTGGGTTACCAAAATCCATGTCTCCTCCTTCATCCATCATAGGATCCTCACATCCTTGGACATCATTGGGCTCAGGCCCCCAATTATCGTGAAAGTCACCGTCGTTCGGTGGTCCGCCTCTAAAGTTCGATTGCTGACCCCGAAAATCAAAGTTCTGGTTGCGGTTCGGACCCTGACGATTTTGTGGTTGGTGGTTTGGATTGAAGTCCCCGTGGTTGAGTTCATCAGGGTTTCCATAGCGGTTCTGCTTCAATCTAGTATCATTTGGATGACCAGTCCGATTGTTGCGATTGTATTCTTGTTGGTTTCCGTCGAAATTGTTGTTTGCGTTCGGATGATTCCGTTTCCGATTCCTATTCATCGGTACGGGGTCCACGTTTTGGGCCCTGGAATGGAAGTCCTCAGGGAAATTGCGACCTAATGGTCCTTGTTTATTGAAATTGCGGTTTGGTGGCCCGTTGTTACGATTCATTTCCTGGGGATCCAGGTTGCGAGCGTTGCGATTATTTGGATTAGGAGGATTGTTGGGCCCAGCGTTGTGGGTATTTCGGTTGAACTCCACCTGATTAACGATTCGACTCGCACCTGGTTGATTAGGATTGCGACTGTTTGGGTTTCGGTTTAGGTTTCGGGTGTCTTGATCGAATTCCTGTTGGTTTCTGCGTTGCTGATTTTGTTGCATTGAGATAGAATTATTTCTGGCATTTGGATGTTGTTTACGATTCGGTTCCCTTCCTTGAGCCTGATTCGCATTTTTACGCTTGTTTTGATTGTTGAACGACGGTCCATTCGAGGGTCCTTGATTACGGATATAATGCTCCCTACCCGGTTCGCCTTGTACCGTAAATCCACTTGGGCCTCCCTGAGAGTTTCCGTTCTCACGGCGTTCTCGTGGACGAGATCGCTGGTCCATATCTGGCGATTCTTCACGAGAGTGCTTGTGCCAATCTATGTTCCTCGGCGGCGGAGGAGTGCGTGGTCTGATGAGATCCTGTTCATACTCTTCTACAGACTCGCCGATGGAGCGCAGCACTTCCGTGTCCACCACACCCTGCCGGCTGTCGCCCAGCTCGACACTGAGCCGGAACCTCTGTCGCTGAAAGTCGCGCAAATTGAAGTCAGGGACTTTGAGGGAGCGCACTGCCAGGCTGTGGGCTACCTGGCGATTAGCACCGAGCTCCAGGAGAAATTTTCTCCGCGCGTCCAGATTGCTGCTGCGAAACGCTTCCGTTTGACCAACTGATCCGTTCAATTTCATGGAATCACATGAAATTATAAATGGAGAAAAGAATGCAGACATACAAGTGGGATTAGAGCTAAGTAACGATGTATCTACCACATCCTTCCGGCGATTAGGTTTCTACTTATATGATTTGATTTCGATCGCTTGGATATAACAAAGTGAAACAAAATCATTATTCTTTCTCCAAACATTATTTAATTATTTAAAGGAAGCCTATAGTCGAGTTTCCCGACTATATTATACCCGGTACTCGTCTTTTCCACCCACATTTTAGCTAACCTTTAAAGTTGAAAGGTGTGGACTCTCAGAAAAATTAATTTTGTTTCATACTCTTGTGATTTGGAAATAACAATTAAAGGAATTCAGTAGGGAAACCGAATAAAGTCTATAAATCCTCTAAGAATAGTCAGATTGGGCAGGACTATTTGAGGATTAGGCATAGGAATAGTTAATAGAAACAACCTTAATCTGAGTGGATATCATTAGAGTCCAAATTCCTAATTGGTTAGTTCTATCTCTCATAGGCTTTGAGATCCACACATTCAAAGTTTACCACGTTTGTAAGGGTATCGATATATAAATGACTATATCTTCATTTAAGGGGACCCTCCCCATTCCCCATAAAAAAAAACCTATTTTGAAATGTGTAGTTTGGCATCAAAACTTTTTCAATAAACGTGTCTAAAAATTTGAAATAAAGATTAATTGCGCTTCTATGATAGGAGTCTTCGTGAAAAACCATATAGCTCTTTTTCTTTTAGTTCTTGAGATCAGAGGAACAGTCAGAAATGGATATATAGAATCTGCTGTTGTTGCTGATCAAGAATGTATATACTTTATGGAGTCAGAGATGTTCCTTCCTTTGATTCCGAGTACCTGGTATATTTATAATTTGCGTACAATTAAAAAAAAAGCATAAATGTTAACAAATTTATTAACTGCCACGGCACTCTCGATGGTGCCCATAACCACAGATAGTTATAAATGGCCAGGCGTGTGGATGCCCCTTCAAAAAACAATAAAGTGCTTCCGATTGTGGGGAGCCTTGACTGCTTCCAGGCGTGCTTCCATATATTCTATATCGCTATCACTGCGATTGGCGGTACTCTTATATAAACAAATGACTAAGAGCGCTCTTCTCTTGCGGGCCAGTTGGCTAATTTCATCAGAGCCGGAAAGTCCCAAATCCACATGCCTAGAAAGCTCTTGTCCGGCGAAAGAGAGTGGTTGATTCGACGCACTTTTTCGGATTAAATAAGATCTTCGATCCGTTTCGAAGAGTTGGCCAGACAGACGAATATACATATCGTACATAGGTTAGCACTCTGCATACCCGTTGTGGATAAAATGTTCTCTTCCATTGGTTCCACATTGTTTCTCAGTCTCTCAGGCCTGGCCATTATCTCACTTTTGTTTAGAGCGTTGTTTTGTTGTTTTGCGAGCCGCAATCTTGATTGAAAGTCAAAACAAATAGGTTTGTTCGCCGCCCGCTCGCATTCAGTTGCCTTTTTAGCTCGCAACGAGCCGGTTGTCCGTTGATTTCAGTGCCCCCATTGGCTTCGCTTCGCTTCGTTCAGACCGATCCAATCCGACCCCCATCCCAGTCGATTCAACAATTCTATTCACTCGGATCCGTTCGAATCGGAGAGATTTGTTTGTCCTACGTCGAGGTAATTATAAAGTGACATTTCAGTCGCATCGACACCATCGGCCATCGTTATAGCAGCCCCAGTGTCTGTGCCCCAGTGTGAGTGCGGTGTGTATCTATGTGAGAAGCTATTATCTGAGAACATGTATTGCTGCTCTTAGCGAAAATTGTGAAATTTCCAAATCAATGCCCCACGCACTGATGGAAATGTGGAGAACCCCGCGCAAACATTCTTAAAAAAAACCTTAAATTTTCTATGAATCACTATCTGTACGTTTGATAGCAACAATTAGTGTTTTGTCATGCTTGTAGCGCGATTATTTAATTGATAAAAAAAAAAGTAATTTGATGGCGCAAGGTCTTCCGGCAGGCGTATGTACATATAGGCACGTTGGTACACACACACATTCAAACGAAATTACATGGCTACAGCCACTAATTGTTCGATGAACTAGCTTTATAGCTCTTCTCTAACCCGCCGTGACGTCATGGGGCCTTGAAAGAGCGTATCTATAGCTTCGACAGCTTCTGCTCTGGCTCTGGTGGCAACCACCATCATGATAATTAGCTCGGAACAACAGCGAGCCTTCATGGGGCAACAATTGGAGCAAACAAGTGCGCGATAAGCAACAATAAAGGATTATAAAATGCAATTCAGAACTAGAGTAACAGCAAACACTACCATATAGTATGTATGTGGAAGCATCTAGTATTTTGAAAGTGCCGATAAGGCGAGCCAATTTCATGACCGAACGGGATGATAAGGAACTGATTGTGGCCCAAACTCGATGTCGCGGGCCTCAGGGAAGAGCCTTTTTTCAGTTAAAAACCCAGTGTCTCGGTCCCCGTATCGGTCATTTTTAATAGAGTCAGCAGCTGTCAAGTGTCGTAAAGGTATACCCTCCAAATAAGTCACTTTGCGAGGAGCCGTTTGTTTGTCTCTGCAGCGAAGTGTAAACAATTTTTGCCGGCTCGTCAAATTCAAAGCGTATTATGTGTTATATATATGAGTCAGTTAAGAGAAAAGAAAATATTACACGGAACAGAGTCGGGTCGACCACGTTTTCCTTCTCTCGGAGCTTTTTTTTTTTTATCATTTTGGATAGCATCTCATCGTGACGCAGCACATTTCATTGAAGGAGAAATTTCGCTGGCGAAATGTTAAATTCGTCTTCAATTGAGAGTTGACATTGGCATTCAGTTTATTGTTATTTCCCGCGTGGGATTTCTTTTTCTTTTTCGATTGTTGTGCTTATATAATAGCTGTGGAAACAGGTTTCAGCGTCAATTATATCAAAATCAAATACCCGTTTGTGCTGACTGCTGTACTAGAATTTTATCTAAAGCCGCTGCTAGCTTAAAACACACGTAAATGATCAAACAAGTTTCTAGCGCCCATAAAATGTGACTAGCCCTACGCCTCTACCGAAATTTGGCCGCTCCGGTCAAGATTAGCTCCAACTTGTCATTTTTGTGTGCCTTCGTGTTCTTCCTCAGAGCTGAAAAACTAGTTTTGTTGCATATTTGCCATTGACAGCGACTAGTTAAGAGCCAATATATTGTTTGAAGTGGGTGCGAGGAGACCTTCCAAGACGTGGCCCCAGGCACACACACTTATCTGGGCAACTAATCTGCTATTCAGATAGGCGTTATGAGTTAGTGGAGCTGCCCTACGAAGTTAAGAACTTTTCGCTCGCCGTTAGCTAGACTCCAAGTCTTGGTGGGATTCCCTATCCGAACACTGGAGGGATTTCCATATTCTATAAAAAGACTTTCATTTACATTAGCACCATTATTTCTATATTAAGGCATAGTTCCAATCCATGGAGCACTCACTTAATAGTATATGTATGTATATATCCTCCACTCTTGTGGAGGAGTGGGTCACTCTTGGGTCACACTTCTTCGCATTTCCCGAATGCAACAAAAGCTTAGATTTCCCCAAGTGTCTCCCATAGCAGCAGATTGTAGTTATCACTGTTACGTTTCAGTGCTTATCGCGGCGTCCCTGTATCCCACCCGCAATCGTACTTTATCTGGAGTCATGATTGTGCACTCGTGTAGATAAGCGGGGAACAGGCGCAGCCAGGTGGACGAGTGGCTGCCATTGATATTTAAAAGATCGTGTCATGCATAACCGGCAAGAATAGCAGAGATTCTTCACATTGCCGGTTCGGCATCAGTTCGCACCTTTCGTAGCCATGCTAAAAAAAAAACAGGAAATCTTTGCCAGATTCTACTCACCTGGTGTTGGCTGCACAATTAGCGAGTCCCGTCGAGGAGGACCCTGCTGGTTTCCACCACCCGGATTGGCACCTTCGAAGAACTGGTTGACATTGTCCTCAAACTCGTTCTGCCATTTAGAAAATCGAAATTATTTTTCATTTTCCTTTTCCATTCTTCTTCTTTTCTGCCGCTTACCCTCACAAACCGCAAATTCTGCTCACGAAAATTGTCGTTGCTCTCGATGAAGTTCGAGCGGCGAGCCATTTTCTCGAACTTTGTATTGGGAAATGACGCTCAATACGAATAAAGTGGAAAGGTAACAATTCCGCTTGCTTTTTACGCCGCAAGTTTCATAAAAATATTTAATTGACAGAATAGAGCAAAGGGCTGCCAACTCTCTTGGGGAAAATCATTGAAAGTGTGACCCTTTGTTAAAAAATCCAAATATGCCAAAACTAACATTTTAAATACCAGAAAAATGTATGTATGTAATTTTCATAATATACATTAGGATTTTTACATTCTTGAAAGGAGATATTTAAACAGAATTAAAAGTTTGGCATATTGTTAGAAAATAAATAACTTAACTGAGGTAAATTATCATTGTAAAAATATATATAATAAAAAGTCCATACAGATCACAGTAGAAAACAGTTTTCAACTATTTTCTTCTTATTAAAATGTGGGGTAAAATGAAATGCATTTCAAATGAACAAAGTCTAGATAGTAAAAGAAAATTCCTTTCCCCCTTCAACTTATCAATTTTGGCTCCGAATTTTTACGATCGTTACGCTCGGGTGCAGCCCATTGTGCCCTACGGAATACCGACAAAAATACTACAAAATAATACCACTACGAGAGCCGTTATTACATTAGAACTGTTATTATTGTTGTATTATTTTCTTCTTATTAAAATGTGGGGTAAAATGAAATGCATTTCAAATGAACAAAGTCTAGATAGTAAAAGAAAATTCCTTTCCCCCTTCAACTTATCAATTTTGGCTTAGAATTTATACGATCGTTACGCGGGTGCAGCCCATTGTGCCCCACGGAATACCGACAAAAATACTAAAAAATAATACCACTACGAGAGCCGTTATTACATTAGAACTGTTATTATTGTTGCCGCTTGGGAAAGGAACAGCTGTTGACCAGAAAAATATAGATCCATTGGTTTTACACTTACAGTTACGCCAAAATATTTAACCCAAAAAGGGAGGCCAGTACACGTGCGGGAGAAGGCTCCAAAGAAGACGGACGACCATGGAGGTGAACCCAAGTTCGCCGATGGACGAGTTCTGCGGTTCCACATTCTGGGTGTGTATTGTTCGATGGAGCCTCGAGCCTCGAATTGGGCTGTTTGATGAATTTAATGACCCTTTAATTGAAAATCCCAAACCAGAACTCAACGGAAACATGGTGGACCAACGATCCAGACTTTACTCCCTGCTTTGAACAAACCGTGCTAGTATGGACGCCTTGCGCCTTCTACTGGCTTTTCGTGGTCTTCGATTTCTACTACTTGAAGGCCAGCTTAGACCGCAACATACCCTGGAACAAGTTAAACGTGAGCAAGGCCCTGGTAAATGTAGGTCTGCTGGTTCTTACTGCCCTGGACTTAATTATGGCCCTCATCAAGAAGGGGGGCGACGACCAGCCGCCGCTGTATAAGCTGGACGTGTGGGGACCCATCATCAAATTCGCCACCTTCCTACTTATCTTCTTGTTCATCCCACTGAATCGAAAGTATGGCGTGCAGACAACAGGCTGCCAGTTTTTGTTCTGGTTCCTGCTTACTGTTCTTTCGATACCGCGCTGCAGAACCGAAGTCCGCGCGGACAACTTGCGTCAACAGCAGTCGGAGGATTTGGATTTCTCCTGGGACGAGTACCAGTACGCCAGTTTCTTCGTCTTCTTCACCTTCACCTGCCTTATGCTGATCCTCAACTGTTTTGCTGACGGCTTGCCGAGGCAAACCAAGTACCAGCGAGGTGAAAATGAGATTCCCGAGCTGTCGGCCAGTTTCCTCTCTAGGATCACTTATCAATGGTTCGACAAAATGGCACTCAAGGGCTACCGAAACCCACTCGAGGAGAAGGATCTGTGGGATCTGCGTCCGCAAGACAGCTGCTCCGAGGTAATGCCTGTTTTCGCCTACCACTGGAATCAAAATGTGCGCAAGAACTACAAGGGAAGAGCTCGCGTGGAGCCCAAGGCCCAGTTCAGCAATGGCAATGTCACCTTCGAGAACCCCCACGGCGAGAAGAACGGCCGCAAGAAGGGTGTGGCCAGTATCATGCCGCCCATCTACAAGTCGTTCGGAGGCGTCTTTTTGTTTGGTGCTTTGATGAAGTTGTTCACTGACTGCTTGACTTTTGCCCAGCCCCAGGTCTTGAGTCTAATCATTAGTTTCGTAGAGGATCAAGAAAAAGACAAACAGCCTGAATGGAAGGGCATTATGTACTCCGTTCTGCTCTTCGTTTTGGCTGCTGCTCAGACTTTCATTCTGGGCCAGTACTTCCACCGGATGTTCATAGTGGGCTTGAGAATTAGGACCGCTCTCATCAATGCCATATACCGCAAAGCCCTGCGCATTTCCAACTCCACAAAGAAGGAGTCCACAGTTGGCGAAATTGTCAATCTAATGGCTGTCGACGCACAGCGCTTCATGGAGTTGACCACCTACCTGAACATGATCTGGTCGGCTCCCCTACAGATTGGTCTAGCCCTGTTCTTCCTCTGGCAACAGCTGGGACCGTCTGTGTTGGCCGGTCTTGCCGTGATGATCATCCTAATCCCCGTGAACGGAGTGATTGCCAGCCGCATCAAAACCTATCAGATCCGACAAATGAAGTACAAGGACGAGCGCGTCAAGCTGATGAATGAAGTTCTGAGTGGTATCAAGGTGAGCCTGATTATTTTAAAATGTTTATCAAAATTCTAATATGGTGTATGCCACGCAGGTTCTTAAACTGTACGCCTGGGAGCCGAGCTTCGAGAAGCAAGTTCTGGACATTCGTGACAAGGAAATCGCCACCCTGCGATCTACCGCCTATCTGAACGCCAGTACATCCTTCCTGTGGTCCTGCGCTCCATTCCTGGTAAGAAACGCCAGCCCACCAGGGCTCCGAGTCCTCTGCGATCTCTTTTCAGGCTCCATGAGTTGGACGATCGACGTTTTTGAGCTTTGGGTCTAATTTGGCAAATATGTGTGCTTCGTGTTCGAACAAATCTAAAGGTTTCCTTGGTCACGTTTGCGACTTACGTGCTAACCAGCGAGGCGAATCAGCTGAGCGTCGAGAAGGTGTTCGTCTCACTCGCCCTCTTTGACATTATGAAAATCCCGCTGACCGTCTTGCCTATGCTGAGTGTTGACATAGCCGAGGTACAGTCTATTTACGGACTTGGAAGGAGTCTCCACCTCTTCGGCTATGGGTCATCACTGCCTTCTCCCTATCCATACCCAAACTCGACTAAACAAGCGAAACGGATCAAGAACAATCAACCATTTTTCTTTAAATCTTTAAACGATATTGTGTATTATCTTTTAGGTATCATTAGTTACATTTGCCACTTACGTTCTAATCGATGAAAATAACGTGCTTGACGCCACCAAAACCTTTGTATCATTATCATTATTCAACATTCTTCGTTTTCCGTTAACAATGTTGCCCATGCTGATCACCAACCTGGTGCAAGTAAGTTATACTCGATTGCAATACCAATTTCCACTGCTCCCTTCAATGACAGTGTGGCTTGAGGGATGTCCTTAAACCTGAAATTACCAAATATCCCAAGCAACACTGTCATTGACGACTTTGTGGCGTTTTGTGATTGTGATTTATGTTTATTTACTCAATTTATATTCTTTTTTAGCAAAAAAAAAAACAATTCCATCCCGATTTAAACGACCTAACCATTGTTCCTACTCCCTTCCATTGATTTCCTATTCATCGCATTCATTTGGGCTTTAAAGTTATCCGAATCACTTCAGTTCCAAATAGTTCCATTTATCAGGGCCTGGGATTTCCTTTGGGTTTCTTGGGTTTCTTGAAATATGTCGTTGCAGAGGGCATTCAAGGTTGCTTGACTTGCAGATTTTAATTTAAATTAATTGTCTGTTTTAACTGGTCCGAATATTCTTTTGAAGATACACCCCATTTTAAGGTCTTTTTCCTTTAATTTTCTTCAAAGCTCTTGTCGTCTGCAGAGGTATACAACTACCTCGGCAGACCCCGAGGATACTATTCATGGAATGCATTTCCCCCCATCGTTTCCTTGAAAATTATCTTACTAACCCATTCTGTGTTTAAAAGTATGCACCGAATATTTATTAACCGATTCCAACCTGTTTCATGTGCGAACCATAGACGCAAGTTTCTGTAAACCGTATAAACAAGTTCCTGAACAGTGAGGAACTGGACCCCAACAGCGTTCTCCATGATCCCTCCAAGCGTAAGTTTTAAAAAACAGTTTTAAATCTTTTAGCTTGATAATTAAAAATTCGATGTTCCTTTCAGCCCATCCCATGAGCATTGAAAATGGTGAGTTCTCCTGGGGCGACGAGATCACTCTCCGCAACATCAACATCGAGGTGCACAAGAGCAGCTTGGTTGCGTTGGTGGGCACTGTGGGCTCTGGCAAGTCGTCCGTTGTACAGGCCTTCCTCGGCGAAATGGAGAAGCTTGCGGGCGTTGTCAACACGGTGGGCAAGCTGGCCTATGTGCCGCAGCAGGCGTGGATCCAGAATGCTACTGTGAGGGACAACATTCTCTTCGGGCAAACCTACGACCGGAAGCGCTACAACAAGGTTATTGACGCCTGTGCCCTGCGCGCCGACATTGACATCCTGTCAGCTGGGGATCTCACGGAAATAGGTGAAAAGGGTATCAATCTCTCAGGTGGCCAAAAGCAGCGTATCTCCTTGGCCCGCGCCGTCTACAGCGATGCCGATCTGTATCTGCTGGACGATCCTCTCAGCGCCGTCGATGCCCACGTGGGCAAGCACATTTTCGAGGAGGTTATCGGACCCAAGGGCATGCTGGCCCGCAAGTCCCGAGTTCTCGTCACCCATGGCGTTACCTTCCTGCCCCAGGTGGACAGCATTTATGTGATGAAGTCCGGTGAGATTAGCGAGAGCGGCACTTTCGATCAGCTGGTGAAGAACAAGGGCGCGTTCGCCGACTTCATCATCCAGCATCTGCAGGATGGCAATGAGGAGGAGGAGGAGCTTAACCAGATCAAACGCCAGATCTCCAGCACCGCAGATGACCCTGAGTTGATTGGCAGTGTCGAAAAGGCCATCAAGTTGGCCCGAACGGAGAGCCTATCGGATTCTATGTAAGTTCAATGCTATATCATGAGGATTACTTTTTATTTTATTATTCTCTTAAAAATTTATAAAAGTACCTTTACGTTAGTATACAAAAAATTATGAATGTCTTGAGGCACTGATATTTATTTCTTAAATATGAGTTTTAAACTTATGAAACTATACAATAGAAGTTATAAATACTTTATTTGATATATCTTCAAATCATTTACATAAATTGACAATTTTTTTCGCGCGATTAGCTTCAGTTTTGTTTTATTTAATTGTGCTTAGTATTTTTTTTTTTATATTTCATTTAAAAAATAGAATTCAAGTAAAAACTAAATTTATTTCGTACAAATTTTAGCAACCGTGAGGAGCATTTAATAGGGTAATTTCTCAATAAGACAATAAGTTAATTAATTAACAGCAAAAGAAAGTCAAAGCTAATAAAATATTCCTATATCCTAGCTCTGTTACTTCGGCGGATAGTTTGATGGGAAGAGGTAACAGCCTCCGGCGACGTACCAAACGCCAGGACTCGCACGATTCCGTTGCCTCGGCAGCTTCGCTAAAGAAAAAGCAGGAGGTCGAGGGCAAGCTGATCGAGACTGAAAAATCCCAAACTGGTGGCGTCGATTTCGCCGTTTATAAGCACTACATCAAGAGCGTGGGCGTCTTCCTGTCTGTGGCCACCCTGGTGCTGAACTTTGTTTTCCAAGCATTCCAAATCGGCTCGAATCTCTGGCTCACCAAGTGGGCCAACGACGAAAATGTTTCAAACGACACTAGCCTCAGGGACATGTATCTGGGTGTTTACGGCGCGTTTGGTTTTGGTCAAGGTGAGTTCATTGTGATTCGATTTCTTGGCTATTGCTATATTGTTTTGAATATCCTTGTTTCATGTTCGTGTTGTCCATTTTGTTGCCTTAGCTTAAGTTCTTTTCTAATTTTATGTTGCATGTTTTTTTGGTTGGGTGTTATCGCTTATGTTTTATAAATTACTGCTTTGTTATTTTAATTGGTTTTAGTTATATGACTATAAGTTAAGATGACTATAAAGATGAAAAGTTGTTGCACATTTTCTTCCAAAGCGTTCAAGTTTAAAGCTTTTCCGATTATTAAATTCATTTTATGGCATCTTAAATTTTATTTGAGTGTTTTAATTCTTTAAATTAACTCGTTTTTTGGTTTTGGGAATATCATTTTGTTTCGCTTATTTGTGTTGCTGCTAACTTTGGGGCCCAGAGAACACATGCTGCTCAGCTAACCAGTAGACAATCCATGCACTAAATATTATATTATAGAGCCTTAGCGTAGATTTTCTTAAAGCGACTAGCACTCCACTAAACCAATTAACACACAAGCCACTTAACTCAAAAAGTGAAAATAACACACAAAGCACGCTTAGTATATTTAAGCCAAATGGACTCTATTGTTGATAACACTATTAGTATTATTGCTGCTGGCTTACTCGCTTGCAAATAATATTTTAAATCTTTCCTTCAAATATCGTAACTAAGCTAATTAACTATCAACTAACAGTTATCCTTTTGTGTGTGTGTGTGTGTGTAAATGTGCTGCCTTAACGACGATAACCTTTTTAATTTCTCCAACAATCGAAATTATCGAAAAATAATCGCTTAAATCCGAAACCCGCAAATTTTAGTCGCGACGAACTTCTTCTCATCCCTTGCCATTTCATTGGGTTGCCTCGAGTGTTCCCGGGTGTTGCATCAAACCCTACTCTACTTCAACCTTCGCTGGCCAATGGAACTCTTCGATACGACGCCATTGGGTCGCGTTGTCAATCGGTTTGCGAAAGATATCGATACCGTTGACAACGTCCTGCCATTCAACATCCGTGTCGTTTTGGGACAGGCCTTCATGGTAATTGACTGCAATCGGTTCGGTGACAAAAAATGTCACATTAATCCAAGCACGGCACTAAAAAATCAATACTGGGAATGGATCATACGCATCTGCTATATAAATATACACCTTTCGGCTTGAACTCATCTAATCATGATCAACAACTAATGAGAATAATAGATGCAATATACTGCAGGTTTTTAGGTTTGATTTCAAAGGAGAAATTTCATTTTAATTCTTAAAGAATTGTAGTTTTTGTGAAAATAAGACAATAAGGCTCAAAATTTATCATCGGTGGGCAGGGCTTTGTGCGGCGTTCGATCATTAAACGCGATCACCTGTTAGAAATGTGATGTGATGCATTTTACCTGAATCTCCTTCATGGTTCGGTTCTTTTCTTACCATATTTTGTTTTGCAGTTTCCTCATACTTTGTTTGCTCACTTACCCTCGCTCTGGGGTGCATTTACTGCTCCAAGGCGCTGCAAGAGTCGCTCCTGTACAATGTTTTCCGTTGGCCCATGGAGATGTTTGACACAACGCCCCTTGGTCGAATCGTCAACCGATTCTCTAAGGATATTGACACTATCGACAATGTCCTGCCCATGCTGTGGCGAATGGTCATCAGTCAGGCCTTTGCGGTAAATGGCAATTAAATAATATAATACACCTCATTGACAGGGAAACGTTTAGAAAATAGGATAATATTCCGATGAGGGTGGTTGAAAATGTACGTCTGAGTAGGTCAGTTTATCTCTGAAGGTTAGCAATGTTCTCCAGCCTGTTTTGTCCCTGCTTAACCATTTCCTTGTTTCACTCTTGAATGAAATAAAAACAAATAGCTAATTCTACTTCCAGTTTTCTCATATTTTGTCTGCTCACTCACCCTGGCCCTTGGTTGCATTTACTGCTCCAAGGAGCTGCAGGAGGTGTTGCTCTTCAACGTATTCCGTTGGCCTATGGAGATGTTCGATACCACGCCCCTGGGCCGAATCGTTAACCGCTTCGCCAAGGATGTCGACACTATCGACAATGTCCTGCCCATGCTGTGGCGGGTGGTCATCAGTCAAGCCTTTGCGGTAATTGTCCAGAAAAGCATAAATTTGTAGGGATTTCATTTTATTCCATTAGAGATCTTTATTCAAATTATTTATCTGGCTTCTTCTCAGCTAACCAGTAGGCTATTCATGTACATATGTACTGTGTATTATAGAGCCTTAGAGTAGATTTTTCTTAAAGCGACTAGTATTCCACTTTTCCCAACAAACACAAGGCACGTAACTCTCAAAAGTGAAAAAAAAACTAAGCATAAACACTTGCTGCACGCTTTGTATATATAACCCAAATGGACTTCTTCATTGATTACACAATTAGTATTGCGGCTGGCTTATTCTCTTGCAAATAATATATTAAATCTTTTCTTCAAATATCCTAACTAAGCCAACTAACTATCAACTAACAGTTATCCTTTAGTATGCGCCTGTGCAAATATGCTGCCTTAACGAAGATAACCCCTTAAAAATATAATACACAAATTACATTATTTTTCAATAATCGCTTAAATCCGAAACCCGCAAATTTCGCAAATTTTAGTCGTGACGAACTTTTTGTCATCCCTTGCCATTTCATTGGGTTGCCTCGAGTGTTCCCGGGTGTTGCATCAAACCCTACTCTACTTCAATCTTCGCTGGCCAATGGAACTCTTCGATACGACGCCACTGGGACGCGTTGTCAATAGGTTTTCGAAAGATATTGATACCGTTGACAACACCTTGCCATTGAACATCCGTATAGTTTTGCTGCAGGCTTTCATGGTAATTGACTGCAATCGATTCGCTGGCAATTAATGTCACTTTAAAAAGCTATCTAACCCAAGCACGGCACTAAAAAATTAAAGCTGGGAATAATCATCTTATCATCTAATCAGGATCAAATACTAATGAAAACTCTTATTTATGCATATATTGGGAGTTTTCAAGTCTTAAGTCTTAGCAGGGCACAACATTTATTATCTCGACCATTACTTGCGATCACCTGTTAGAAATGCTCAGACTACTTCTTGTTTTTGTGATATGTGATGTGATACATCTTACAGGAATAGCCTCAATGAATTTTTGAATGATCGAATGGATCGGTTCTTGTCTTCCTAAACTTTGCCAAGGATGTCGACACTATCGACAATGTCCTGCCCGACAAGCCTTTGCGGTAGTTGTCCAGTAAAGTGTTAATTTGTAGGGATTTAATTTTATTCTTTTAGAGGCCTCTGTTAAAATTATTTATCCGGCTTCTCTGCAAACAACACTTCCTAAACACATTTTCTAATTGGCAATAGCTTCATTGTTAAATAGACTCCCTTTTACGCTGCACGTTGTCCAATCAAACTAAGTACTTAGAATTTCTATTTGGCACTAACTATTTGTTGTGTAAATATTTGTAAAAACTATCACTAACCTTGCGGTAATTACCCTGGCACTAACCCGACGCGACAACTAGCAGCATGATTAGCTGGGCAATCTTTAGTTTGCTGTAGAAACAATTACTGCATTTAAATCCTAGGAGTAATGCCAAGAATCTAAACCGATTTATGTTATATGCAGTGGTGTCAAAATATTTGGCCGGCCTAGCTTTGGCGATCGGAGGGCTGCACTGCTCCATGGATGTGTTCACCAAGCTGCTGAGCACGGGCCTCAAGTGGCCGATGGAACTGTTCGATACGACGCCCCTAGGTCGCATTCTGAGTCGCTACTCCAAGGATATCGACACGGTTGATGGCGTGTTGCCAATGATAACTGTTCAGTTACTGAACACCTGTTTCGGGGTAAAGATTCACTCATAACCTTTGCCGAACCTCTTCGGTCTAATGGAGAGATGCCCAAGTCCTGAGATCTAACCAAAGCTACATTTTCTACTAACACAACAACTGATTTGCCTTTTATCTAAAACCAACTAACCTTTTCCTTACCAACTAGTTTTTGCAACTTTCCCACTTTCACTAATTTTGCCAAAGAAAAAAATCATTTTCCAAGAATCTAATCTATCAGTTTCATTTTCATTTAATTAACAATTTTTTTAAGCTACTAAATTATTAGCTGAGCCTTTATTTTTGGTTTGAAAACGCTTTTACTTGATACTACGAGATTCATTAGTAGCCTAGCCATGATGTGTGAGATGCGTGTGTGCAAATAATTATTTTTTTCTTTAATCTGAGGCTGTGGCATAATGGTAAATACAATCTGGATAATTACTGGTCCCAGAGCCCCTATTATTAAGAGTTCTTTATAAGTGGCCGGTTTCCATCAAGCTTCGAATAATGTTTACGGCGTAGACCATTCCGTAGGGTATCACCTCATTCAGTCAGCCATCGAATTCAAAGTGACTTTCAAAATATTTACCAAGTGCCAATGGGCGCATCTATTCCGCTCATCCTCCCTCTCTGGTACCAGGTGTGCTCGCCTACTTCGCGGTGGTGATCGTCTACCTGGGCGGCTTCAGGGCTGCCAAGGTCATCCACAACGATCTCCTCAGAGTCATTATTCGGGGATCCGTATGCCGATTTTTCGACGTAACCCCGATCGGGCGACTCTTGAACAGTTTCAGCGGCGATATGGACGTTATCGACGAAGAGTTGCCCGCCACCCTGGACTCCTTTATGACCTTTATTTGGATGGTATTTGCATTATTGAATTCCCCCTTATATTTTCAGTAACGATTTATTTCCAAATATTTTGTTTCGATTATTTTGATAATCTTGAATTGTAGGCTTTAAAGATTTATGGTTTGTACGAGAAAAGCCTTTGATTTGAAAAGGTCTTCTCCTAATTTGCATTCATATACACTATATATCTCTCTTTCTCTCATTTCAACTCTCTCTCTTCCTCTATAATCCACTGATTCGGATACAACCGGACAGTTGTATGCAATTACGGCGCCGCCATCACCCTTTTCACAGCCACCCTACACGCCTCATCCAGAGTTTTTCATCGACTTTTTAACAACATTTTGCACTGTCCCTCTGAGTTCTTTGATACCACGCCCAAAGGCCGGTTATTGGATCGCTGTTCCAACGATATAAACTGCTTGGACTTGGTATTGCCAATTAATATACGAATGGTCCTAAACACGGCGTTTCAGGTAATCTTGAGATAGTTAGAAAGTTGTGTTCTTTTGTTTCTTTAAAAGAATAGTAAGTTATTAGTTTTGGAATGTTTACGAAAACTATTTCAGTTTGTCGAATCTTTATTTTTTTTTGGTAGAGAATACTATTTATTTTCAAAAACATGTACAGCTCCATACGATGTGTTATACTAACATTATAACCCTCTTGTTAAAACTATTTGTCTTCCAAACTCGTTTTTATTTAGTCCCAAAAATTCTTAAAAAATATTTAAAGTGTTTCGTCCAGAAATATATGAAATCTATATGAAATCCCATCGAAATTCCCAGTCCTTAGCTATATAGGCAGTGTGGTTATCGTTTACCTGGGAGCCTTGATCGGGGCCCGAAAAATGTTTGTCTTCCTTTTGAGTCGCATCATGCACGCCCCGCAGTCGTTTTTTGATATAAAGCCCCGCGCACGAATCCTTGATCGGCTGGCCAACGATATTTATAAATTGGACTTAGTTTTGCCCGAACTAATACGCGTCTTTAACTCCCAAGTGTTCCGGGTACGTTCCGTGTCACTAACCAAACCCAACAAGGCTTTACTAATCCCGACTAACTAGTGTTATCACCCATTGTAAAAAAAACTCAGCTCGTAGCAATTTGAGGCTTGATTGATTACTCATTCCTAGAGCGTAGCTTGTACAAAAATAGTGGGATAGTTGGATTGACGGGGCGGGCGCATGTTGTATTCTCGTTCAATTCTAATCTTTCAAAATCATTTTCCTGTGGTTGTGTCCTTTCCCGGTGATCGAATCTACAGAGCCTTAACACTCCACAAATAAAGTTATCGACTGAATTTTAATATTGATTACTTATCGATTAAAACGCAAATAAATATTTTATTATCTAACTTGATAAATGAAGTTTTTTTATATGAAAATTCAGATGAGATAATTTATTATGGACTCTAAGCCATTCCCGTTCCCACTTAGGGATTTGGCTGGGCTTCTTTCGTTCGATTTCCCACTCGAAGAACTCCTCTCGAGCACCAATCTGGGGCCGGACTGTGGCTATACCAATTCCAGCCTATGCCAAATTCTAATGCACCACACCTACTGAATTGACAATCGCAGGTTTCACGTCATTCTTTTCGGACTTGGCCCCGGCACTAGGCACTTTGCACGCCGCCCGAGTGCTCCACTCGCTGCTACTCGATAACGTGCTAAAATCGCCCATGACCATGTTCGACACAACCCCGGTGGGTCGAATCTTGTCCCGATTCTCGAAAGATGTTGAGTCGGTCGACCAAAAAATGCCGCAAGTCATTAGTGATTGCCTCTGGTGTGCTTATGAGGTAATTTTTCAACATCCGACTAGGCACTACGAACTGTCTTTAAATTGCTACAAAACGTGTACCCACCTTTCGAAAGTAACCCCATTATTATTTCCCATGAACAATAACCACATCATTGGCGGCGCTCAATAACTCCTTCCCCAAGAATTTTTCCTCCATCAGTAAAAGCGTTTTCTCCAGAAAGAAGGGCCTTGCCCTTCACCTATTTCAGTTCATCCTTTTCCTATTAACCCTGCATCCCTCTCACACTTTCTGATGTTCTTTCAAGGAATTGTTATTAATATTTGATTATTATTATTGGTTAGGTTTTGGCTACCATTGTGGTTATTAGCTTGTCCACACCCATTTTCCTGGCAGTGATCGTTCCGATCGCCTTCCTGTACTATTTTGCCCAGCGCTTCTATGTAGCCACCTCCCGACAACTGATGCGTCTGGAATCCGTCTCCCGATCTCCAATCTACTCTCACTTTGGTGAAACCGTCACTGGAGCTTCAACAATTCGTGCTTACAACGTGGGAGATCGGTATGTTTCTATATAGTTTCCGATAAGTAAGGAGTACTTAATCTTATACTCTCAAAATGTTTAGTTTCATTGAGGAATCCGACGCCAAGGTGGACAAGAACCAAGTGTGCAAGTATCCTTCGGTGATAGCCAACCGTTGGTTGGCCATCCGTCTGGAGATGGTGGGTAACTTGATTATCCTGTTTGCCTCCCTCTTCGCCGTCTTGGGAGGCCAAACCAATCCTGGCCTGGTGGGTCTCTCGGTGAGCTACGCCTTGCAGGTGACCCAAACGCTCAACTGGCTGGTGCGCATGACCTCCGACATCGAGACGAATATCGTTTCTGTGGAACGTATCAAGGAGTACGGAGAGACCAAGCAGGAAGCTCCTTGGGAGCTGGAGGCTGATAAGAGCAAGCCCAAGAACTGGCCGGAAGAAGGACGTGTAGAGTTCCAAAACTTCCAGGTGCGCTACCGCGAGGGTCTGGACCTGGTGCTCCGTGGCGTTAGCTTCAATATCAAGGGTGGCGAGAAGGTCGGCATTGTGGGACGCACGGGAGCTGGAAAGTCTAGTCTTACCCTGGCATTGTTCAGGTAAGCAAGCCGCCTTTTCATTTTAAAGGAAGCTATTATTTTCGATATTTTTTATTTTAACCTTTAGAATCATTGAATCTGCCGGCGGACGCATCGCTATCGATGGAGTGGACATTGCCACCATGGGTCTTCACATGCTCCGTTCCCGCCTGACGATCATTCCACAGGATCCCGTTCTCTTCTCCGGCTCGCTGCGAATCAATTTGGATCCCTTCGAGGTTAAGACCGACGATGAGATTTGGAAGGCTCTGGAGCTTTCCCACTTGAAGTCGTTTGTCAAGAGCTTGGCAGCGGGTCTGAACCACGAAATCGCCGAGGGTGGGGAAAATCTTTCGGTGGGTCAAAGGCAGCTGGTGTGCTTGGCTCGCGCTCTGCTGCGCAAGACCAAGGTCCTGGTTCTCGATGAAGCCACTGCTGCTGTGGACTTGGAAACAGATGATCTGATTCAGGTAAATACCAACTACCACCTGTTTCTCTCAGACCTATTAACGAACATTTTTTTCCACCACCAGAAAACCATCCGTACAGAGTTCAAGGAATGCACTGTTCTGACAATTGCCCATCGTTTGAACACTATTTTGGACTCTGACAAGGTCATTGTGCTGGACAAGGGTCAGATTACGGAGTTCGCGTCGCCGACGGAGCTGCTGGACAACCCGAAATCCGCATTCTACAGCATGGCCAAGGACGCCAACCTAGTTTAAGGTCCTCAAATGTCAATCTAAAACTCTACGAAACTCAAATGAAAGTGTGTGTGTCCCGTCTTAAACAAAATAGGAATGTAGCTGTATGAAATTAAATGTTTGAACGTAAGCTTTAAGCCATGCCCTACCTCCGGTTAAAAAAGCAGAAAACAAAGGAAACAATAACAAGAATCAAAATTAAGAAGTTAGAAAATACCAACGGAATGTTCACTAGGCTAAGACAAATTTTGAGAGCCATTCGCTACTTTTCGGTTCATGTATTTTCCTTTTTTTTGATATGTATATGAATTTACATAGCTGAGTGTATTGTCTACTGTACTTAGTTTTCAAAAACAAACAAAATAAAAATTAAAAAAATTAACGGATATAAGGAATAACACTCTTAAGTATGTTACATAATTATGTACTTAAAATAACAAAACAAACAAAACTGAAAAGAAAGAACAATGAGAATGAAAACAAAACTCACTCAAGAATTTTTTGCCTTCAACTGATATGATCAGTAAGATATATGGTCAATGTAGTTAAATCAATATATTGAAACTTTTGTAAAATGTATACTTAAATAAATAAAGTGATTTAATAAAAAAAAATATCTGAAAATATTTAATAATGTAATGAAGGGTCCTCATAGACTATGCTCTTCCTACTATTGCTCTACTAAACCAGTTTGTGATCTTAGTTTTTTATTCATCGAAGTATATACATATAATAATGAAGTATAATAGAAGTAGGATATATTTTAGAACTGGTACCCTAAAAGCTTATTGTTTGTAAAATGTACCTTTTTTGGTGAAAGGTACTTTTATTTGAAAGCTTTCATTTTAACTTATTTGTCCTTTATGAAGCTCTAAGGGGTTTGTGTCCATATAATTTCCATATAATGCAGTTTCAAAACTTCATACAGATTGTTGAAAAAATTGCCGCATTCCATTAAACCTAATATTCATTTAATTTTTTGAATTTATCTTCTTCACCATGTCTGCCTGTATATAAACAGATAGATGAAACTATAAATATTTTTGATTTTAATTAAGAGTTTTTAGTTAAAACCTTTCCAATCTCTTTGTTTTAATATCCTATAGTTTAATTATAAAAAAATATTTAAAGTGATGCCTTCATCGTTTAGAGTAAGTGAATATTAAGAATTAAACAGCAATTATAGTGTTGTCATCTGAGAAATCCTTCGAACTTCAGATGCTTGCATTTGACAGCTTTAAGCTTAATTCTCAAAACTCGGGCTGACTGTGAAAACGGGCCATAAATTATATTTATAAGCCTCTGAAAAGCAGTCCAAACAGTTTGGAGACAATTTCGGGCAACTTATTACCTATCCACCTACAGATATGCTATATGAAGTATTTATTTTAGATATTTGCCGGGAGCCGGGAGCCGGGCGCTTGGCGCCACCCACCGAAAATGAGCATTCCATTTGTCTTTATTTAGGCGCGCTCACAAATGGTTGCTTGGAGGCTGCATTTATTGACAATAAACAGGCCATAAATTACGCATTGAATGGTCTGAGAGGTGGTCGGAGGCTGTTGCTAAAATTTATTAAAAAAAACAGAGTCCTTGTCGAAGCTTTAGTTTAGCTTTTACTGGTGAGAGTTTACAGAAATAACCAGAATTAAACCCAAGGAAACTTCAAAGTGGAAGTTGCAAGGCCGTCGTTTTGAGCGCACTTAAAAACAAAAAGCGTAACGTTATTAAACGTTTTGTGTGAGGTTTGTGTGCTCTCTTTCATGTCACTTACACTTTCGCCCATGTTTGAAAGCCCCTTCACTTGGCCACCACCACCACCACCACCCCTTCGGCGGCTTTTATGCCAGCCGGCTGGTCTTTCACTTGGCATTTCACTTGGTAATCTTGGCAACGCCTTTTGCATACATTCGGCGGGCTGGTGTGGAGGGTGTGAGAGCCCAAAACTTCAAGCGTGCGGCAAATTCAATTTGAAATTTTCAAATGTTTTTTGTTTTCCTGCGTCGCGGCATCACCCCAGTCAATACGCAAATATATATGTATACTTCTGTTCTGCTGTTTGAAAATTACATTTTTATGGGGGGTGTCCGCTCGACGCGGCTCCTGGCAGACCGAGTGTCAACCCCGTCTCCCGAGTCATGAATGCGAAGGCGTGGCCCAGGGCCGCCCGCCCACAACTCCTTTGAAAGTTGCATCGTTGGCTCCCCGAAAAGGGGCCGAATGAATATTTTATTGCCCGCGCATCAGCGGCAGGCGAAAGTGAGTGAAAGATTTTTGATGTATGGCAACTTGCTACCCAAATATTGGCCACCCGCCGTGCACCAGGAAAGGCAGCTCCTTCCTGGGTTCCCCAGCACTGTGGAATGAAAGGTGGAAAACGTTATTCAATTTTTTTAATCTTCTTTTTATTTTATTTGGTGATTAAACCTTGGTCTACTTAGAATAAAGCTATTTCGAAGCTCATAAAGCAACATCTTCATTTATAATATCTTTACTACAAAATCTATAGGAAATGAAATGATTTAATCAATTCTCGAATTCTTGGAATAGGTAATCCACTGTGTGTAGTATTGGGAGAGAGTGGCAGGAACTGCTGCCGCCGCACCCGAAGGCTCCTTCTATGGCCGCTTTGGGATTGTGCGTGCAGCAGCCGAACATAAATATGTTTCGTTGACTCCGTTCCTAATCCGGCTCCTACTCCTGGGGGCAGGTCCTTGCCATGAATGCTTAGCACACGCATCAAAGGAGCCATTTCGGATGTACCGAGTGGATGTCATGGGGTGCTTTCATTTCTATTGCTCTCCAGATTCCTGCAGCATAATATTGTGTCCCAAAATATACGCTGGATATGAATTTTTATATATTAAAAAATTTAGCAGCCAAAGGTGGGCAAGTGACCCTTACTTTCAAACATTCTGGAGAATATTTGAAAAGGCTGTTGGAGTGAACAAATTTTCCAGATCATTTTCAATAGATACTCTCATTACCTTAACTTTTAGCTTGCTAAATATTCTTTTATCACAAACGTTTATGTGACACGAAAGAACCGAATTGATTTCCTGTGCAAAGTCCATCCCAAACGCCACCCAATTCTAAATGACCATAAGGAAACCGCGTATTGTCCAAAAATGGAATCAGGCTCTATCCCCCAAATGGTTTCATTTTGAAATACGACTGCCGTATGACGGCTATGATGCAAGACATATGGATGCTGGACTTACATCCATTCACGACAAGGACAAACACACGCACAGATTCCCCCATTCGAAAGCGAATAGGAGCATACGGATTTTGTAGCAAACTTTTCGCGCCTCCTGCCCTTTTCGGTGCCGGTGCCGGATCCGGTGTCGGTGTCTGTCTATTCGCTACTTCCCGTAGATGGCATGTGACAGTCAACCGTCGAGGTATGCTGTCAGTGTGCGTATGTGTGTGGGCATGCTAAAATTCATTTGTCAAAAGGATTACCATGGTAATAGGGTTTTAAGCATATCACGGCAAACATTCACAGCTTTTTTTGGTGTGAAATATTTAATTTTTTAGACCGCGCGCGCGCTTGAAATGTTTGGGTTTTGGTTTGTTTTGCTCTGTTTGCTTTCATTGCGGCGGCCACAGGTGGCGGCTAATTAAAAAACGGGATTAAGCAATTATGACTGACATTTGTACAACACACGTAATCACACCACAAGCGCAAGCCTCACCTTTGGCAAACAGATTTCTTTTTCGGCGCCAAGCTGCTAATAAATTGACTGCAATCAAAGCTGTCATAAGCCGAGCAGGCCAACGCCCAGGCGGACCTGGACACAGGAATGACAACTGAGGTCACGTATCCGGTGTTCAGGGGTGGAGATTCTATGGGGGGGTTCGAAATAGAAACATGGCCAGATCATTTGTTAAGCTTAACAAACTTGATAAGATTAAAAATTTAATAAAATTGTATATAGTATCAAGATATTTAAGCCTTTTTTTTGTATTTCTGGATCTATTAAAATATGTTAAGGTGTATTTCATATTTCTCCCTCTCATGACGCCTTTGGGTAAGCAACCCGCAGCCAAATGACAGCTTAATCGCCCAAAAAATCAAGCCAAGCGAAGACATTGTCCTCTTCGAACTCAAGGATTCCTGCTGGCTGCCATGTGTCGCCTTTGCCATCATCTTCACCGTTGTGGGAAACTAACCCTCGCGCCTCCCTCGCCCGCAATCCTGCCAGAGTTGTGGAGTCTCCAACGAGGCGAAAATGTACAAATTGTTGTGATTTATTTTAACAGATTTTTTGTTAACCGAAAAGGCGAGAACGGAAACTGAAGTAGGGGTCGCCGGGTCTGATGGAAGCATTTGCTACTCTATTGATGAATATGCTGGTGGGTCACTCATATGTGATAGGAAAGTTTGGGGATGGCGGGTGGCTGGTGGCGGCTGGCAGAGAACCCGGCGCGTGACAATGCGCCAATGTGTGGTCAAGTGCGCACGACTGAGCCGAGGAAGCCGGGCCCCAAAGGAGGCTCCATCAATTTGTCCCCAGTGTGTCTATGGGGCGGGGGTTTTGGTGGTGAAGCAAAAGTTAACGTTAACAGGTTTAACCAGGCTAAGGACAAGTGTGGAGACAGTGCTCCAAACGGGGTTGGAGGAGGGCTGGTAGAAAACTGAGAACTGTGTGTGGTGTGGATGATGATGGGGCACCCTCATCATTAGTGAGAAATGCTTGAGTTTTAACTGAAAGACTTGGCTGAACACGTGTCCTTCTCGACATAAATGTGTGTGTGGGGATTCATGGTTGTCCATAATTGTCCAAAATGAAAGGGAGTTTTTTAGTTTCGAGTACTATGCATAGTTAGTGTATTTTTAAAAACAATTTCATTAAACTTTGAACTATTTAAACTAGTGCGCCTGGCTGCCTGATTACCTTGTGCTTTTAGTCCGGTGGGCGGTTCCCTTTCCGAACGCCCCTGGTTGCCAGGGAGATCCTATGGCTGAGATTCTGCTAACAGGGAGCGTACTGAAAGGATTGACTTTAATGTGAACAACATTGTAACAAAATGTTTAGCACATCTGATATCCCTTTGCTATGCTTAGCTCATCTGATATGCCTTTGCTATTGTTTTCGAGAAGACCGGTTCTCAAGTGAAGTTTGCTGGTTGGAAAGAGGACTCTTTGGATTAGAGTTATTTGTGCGGGTTGCAATTTCCCCCAGAATGATGGTATATGATAACCATGCTTGGGTCTTTAAACATACAAATAGTTAAACGTGTGGGACATAACTTTAAAAAGGATAAACTACAAGATACAGATACCATCAAACCTGATCCAGAAAATGTTTAAATAATACGATTTAAAACAAAGTGTCAATTAGTGGGTTCAGCTGGACTCGAAAGACACTTATCCCCACTTACCTGCCCATGCGAGCGTATTCTTATTTCGAGTCCCCACCCCTGTGCCTTGCCCTATTTAGGCTAAACAAACGATGGCCGGGATTAGGTTCCATTCCTGGGTATCTGTGTCAGCATTAGCTAATTCTATAAAGCTGCACGGGCCTCTCAGTCCGTCCTCGGCCACTTTATGAAATATTGCAAACACTTTTTTCCGCCCTCCTCGCGGCGGATGGAAGG